TAGAAACCAGATGTAGAGAGTGCCAGTTCTGTCACTAGGCAGGGTGTGAATACTGCCCCATCAGCATCTTCTGTGTATAGGGCTGCAAATGATTAGTTGTTTAATTAGCTATTGTATTTTTACTGTCAGGGCAAGAGAGAGAGAGACAGAGGGAGAGTTGATTAGGCCAATCCGAAAAATTGCAAAATGTGTATAAGCTTTCAGACCCAGATGTCAACCACTTTGGTGAGGAGGCAGAATGGGAGTCTTTTTGCACAGCTGACGTATGGTTGGCTGCCTGCCTGAGGAGGCAGGGAAAGACTGGCTGGGCTCCTGCCTGGATTGGAGCACTGCTGCCAAATAAGGACCCCAGCAGCGTGCGGAGCCCAGTAATTGGACCAGCCGGCCTGGGGGAAGGGAGATGGAACTCAGCACCACACTGTAGTGCTGTGCTTCATGCTTTGTACAAAGCTGTACGAAGCACAAAGTCTTCATCCTTAACCAGGAACAGTCAATTCAAGCAAGATTAAAGCCAAATAAATAGTTTTACCTGGTGGATACTTTCTTTAGCATGCAGTGCTGTTTGTTTGGTGTCAGGAGTCCATGATGTTCAAGAACTCTTGTTGGTCTTCAGTTGATGCCCTGATTGGCCATTCTATGATATCTTACAGTTCAGGAACTTGATGTAGGTGGCTGGGAGAATGTATTTTCTTGCTGATTTAGTGTAGCAATCAAGAGCTAGATGGTTGCTGTGGGGTTTTTTTTTTGGACTCTTTGGCCGTGTTCTGACATTTCTTCCTAACATTTCGCCTGTCTCTTCGCCTTCAGAAAAACGGCTAAAGAGCCTGAAAAACCCACAGCAGACATCAGATCCCAGCCGTGAAAGCCTTTGAAGGCCAAAGAGCCTGAAAAACCGAAAAAACTGAAAAGACATCAGATCCCAGCCATGAAAGCCTTTGAGAATACAAGAGCTAGATGTTTTGTATTTTCAAAATTAGAATCAGACTTTTTGTTTATTTGTTAGCCTTTTGCTCCCAGCATCCCCAGATTTTTTTTCCAGGTGACACTTGAAACGCTCACATCACCTGCTAGACTACAGACTCAGTTTAATTCCTACAGACATCTCCTCACATGTTCCATGCAGGTTGCAACACCAGTACAGTTTTCCAGCCTTCCCACAGCTTGCTTTCTGTGGTGTCTTTCTTGACAATCTAGATATGAAAGCTTACACATCTTTCTGTGACTTTCTTGTTGGTCTTATAAATACCTATCATGATATCCTCCTCAAGCTGCCTTGAGGACATGAGGACTGGCCATACTGTATTAAAGCTATCACACCAATATGGCTTTGCTGACTTAGATATTTGTTAGGTTAACCCTGTGTCTTTTAAGTCTGTGGGAAGTTGGACCATGCTATTAAGGCCTATGCTAAGTACTAGTCTGAGGCTAATTTCCCTCATGGAGAGAACTGCCTCTCCGGAGTAAGCAAGCCCAAATCCTGTTCAAATATTATGGTGACCATATAAAGCAATATGGGAATGGGGGTGCATAAAGATACATCAGTGAAGGCCCCTTTTGTGCTGATGTTTGTACTACATACATGGACAGAAAGGGAGCTACTTTGTAGATGTGACCTAAGGGGGAAGCTTACTCAGCAAGGTCTTACTTCCATGTTGTTCTACACAGAAGTGGCAACATTTGAATAAGATCTCAAGTTGCTCTTCCTCTTGTTTGCTTTTTCTCCTCTCAATCACTTCAAAGCACAGAATCTCCTCAGAACTCCCCTGACATTACATTGGGGGGGGGGAGGAATCCAGTCTATCTCCAGCCACTCCTAAGAGCTGAAAAGAGCTGTGCTAAGGAGTCCCACACAAGACTAGCCCACACAGGATTAAATTTACGGATACATGCATTTAACAAATTTATATGCTACCTATTTCCCTGAATGGTAACTCAAAGCAGCTAGAAAGGACAATACTGTAACACTGAACAATCCAAATAAAAGACACAATAAATTCATGAGAAGTTCATAAAGCAGTAGGACCATAAGGGCTAAAAACATACTCATGCTCTATTCAAACCGAATACCTCCTGTAAAAGCCTTTAAAACACAGAGACACTCCACCTCAAACAGACTAGTGTTCTGTAAAAGCCTTTAAAACACACACACACAGAGAGAGACACTCCACCTCAAACAGACTAGTGTGAGGGCCTGACAAATTCTTAATCAAATAACACTTCACAGTAGTGTTCCCACATAAAAAAAAATCTCCAGACCAGGAGTAAGCAAGCTCTGGGGATTCAGGGGCCAATTTTTCACCCTGCAAGGCACCCTAGTTTCCCCAGCAAGAAAATGGAAGTGACTGAGAGTCCACTTCCGGTTCTGCAATCCTTCTAGGCTAGGGGATGTGTGGAGGGGAGTCTGTCTTGTTTTAGAGGCTGTATGAGTAGGTATCTAAGAAGCTCAACAGCATACCAGCAGAGTAGCACAAGAGCTGCAGGATCCTTACCCCTTGCAGATCTTATAAGCAACCTCTTGTTGCATAGTAAGTTACAATAAGAGGAGGCCCACTGAATCAATGTAATTTACATAGGTGTTGACTCAGCAAATCCTCAATTCAATAGGCCTACTTTAGTACTGGATCTGAGCCATTGTTGCATGTCTGATCTCATGAGGCCAGGGGGAGGGAAGTAGTGGAGTAAGGGAACATGTAAGGGAGGAATATATGAAGGAGTGGAGGGGGTACTTAGGCTTCCCAGTTAACTACTAAAAGAGGATAAATTGAGCCCTTAACTTCTTCTGGAATTACTTCTAAGATTTCTATCCCACTTTTTAAAAATAATTCAACATACCAGACAACTAATACATTGCATTATTTACCAGCACCTTGAAACAAGCCCCTTGAAACCAGCAACCCACTAGCAACCCCATAAGACATATTCTGAACCAATTACAACTGTTCTTTTAAGGGCAGGCCCATATAGAGCTTTTCACTGTAGCCTAATCTGGAGGAAACTTGGGCATGGCTGACTATGGCAAAATCTGCCTTTGCTGGGAATGTTTGTAGCTGGCAAAACAGCCAAAGCAGGGAGACATATTCTTTATAACACCCGTTGCAAACCTAGCAAGAAACCTAGACCAAGGAGTACCCTCAGCACAAAAGTCCTGATCTTTTAGACAGAGAACAACCTCACTGAAGCCTTCATCATGGCTTCACCTTCATCATGACATCTAAAATTTGACTGCCAGTGGTGCTCCTTTCCAAGTTTACCAGAGAGGAATAATCACTTCCTGGTGTATATGCTTAGAATTGCAGCCATAGGCAGGCTTGGTTGCTTTGCACTGCATCTTTTATATTCAGGTCTTGGTATGAGCAATATATTTAAAATACTTTTTCAACAAAATAGTTTTGTGGATTATTTTTGTTAGATAACTGCAAAGTACCAGTTGCATTTTAATTAATCTGAAACTCTGTTCAGAATTTTTTAAGAGTGTGCCCCCAATTACTTCTGAGTACCCATGCATAGGATTGCATTGATTAGAGTCTGATCCAATGTTAACTTTTATATCCCAGTGGTGATCATAGGATAATTATGCATGTGTTTAATCCTGCTTGTTTGCAATCAGCGGGATTTCAAAATGTTTTTAACTTCTGAACAATGTCCTTGATTTCTTCACCAATGAAAAGCAAGATGTTTAATCAAATGAAACACAGATAAATAACAGACACTTCTACATTTATACCAGAATGATCTTCTTCTTAACATTATGTTTCTGTTTTTATGTTTTGTCAAGTTGCCTCCAGTTTATGGCAACACTGTGAATGAATGGCCTGCAAAATGTTCTATTATTAACAACCCTGCTCAACTCTTGCAAATAAGCCTATTGCACTCTTTATGGAGACAACCTACCACCTGCTTTGTCTTTCTCTGTTCTTGCTATCTTCAACTTTTCCTAGCATTAGTGTCTTCTCTAACAAGTCTTTTCACAATGTACCTGAAGTTCAATAGCCTCACATTCATTATTTTTGCCTCTATAGAGAGTTCAGGCTTGATTGATCTAGAATCCACTTATTAGTAACAAGTCTTTTCACAATATACCTGAAGTACAATAGCCTCGCATTCATCAGTTTTGCCTCTATAGAGAGTTCACGCTTGATTGATCTAGAATCCACTTATTAGTCTTTCTGGTGGTCCAGGATATCTGCAAAACATTTCTACAACAGCTGTCAGTTTTCTTCACTGTCCAGTAGATTTCTCCAGCAGCTGTCAGTTTTCTTCACTGTCCAGTAGGGACAGCATTTTCATATTTATAGGATTTCCTGTATCCAAATTTGCCTAGAATCCCCTAGGCAGAATTCTGGATCTGGGAGAGGAGAAACCAGAAGGCAAAGGGATGCCTCCCGTACTTCAGTCTTCTGCTTCACTCTGTATGCTTTGGCTGGGAAGAAGAGAATATTCCCTCAATTCATTGCTTCCTAGGAAAGGTAGTCTTACTAGCCAGTAGACTCTATAGAGGGGGCCTGTCACTGAACTACCCTAATCTCACAGCAGCCCTTAAGCACGCCTGCATTTCAGTAGACTTGAGGTTCTTGTTATGCAAAAATCAATGAGGGCACAGCCATGTGTACCTTGGGAGATCTATGACTCAGATCACCTGTTGTCTGGGATTTTTTCTAAGTTACTGGAATAATGAGAGGCATCATTATAAGTGTAAATAAGTCAGAGAAAGAGTAGGGGGAAATGCTTGATGATTCCCAGTGCCCCTCATACACAGTCTAAACAAATATTTATTTAAATTACTCAAAATGCCCTAGTCCTTTATACATCTCCCAAAAGACCACCATAAAACATCTACAAACAGGATTCCATTAACCTTTGGTGCCCTGAGTTAGAGAAGCATATTTCAACAGCAGTTAAATTGAAGTTTAATAAACTCTCGGGCCTCTGTCAGCTCCCTCCTTCTTCCTCCTTTTCCTCTTTCCAGCCCCACCTCCTCCTGTCTTTCCAGCATGACTTACTGCATTGACATTCTCTCTGAACAGCAGCTGCCAATATGGTGGACTCATTAGTGCTGCTCTGGCTTCTGATCTGAATGGCAAAGCACCTGAAAGTGTTCCATCAATCACAACTGTTACATGCCCGCTACAACATCGCACCTCTTATTTCTTCTACCGAAGAGAGGAACTTTCTCTTTGAAGAGCTCCTGCATTTCCCTACCATTATTTCCCTCCAAACTCAGACTCAATGGTACTTAAATGAGGAGCAGCTTCCCAGAAGCTCCTGGGGATCAGACCTAAAAAGTAACTGTTCTCCCAAAATTTCAAAATTACACTTCTGGTGCAAAGTAATAAGAAATAAGCATAAAATGGAATTTCAGATCCATCATATTCTCCCTCCCCCCCAATTCTACCAGAGGGGAAGACCAAGAAGCACCCAGAGCAAAGCAATCTAAGTCACATTCTCTACGCTGCAAACAAAAGACAAATTCAGACTCTCACCCTAAATCTATCATGAACATAAAAAGAACCATGATGGGTAAGACCAAACGCTTGTCTAGTCCAGCATCCTGATTCCTGTAGTGGTCAAGCAAACAGCTGTGGAAGTCCACAAGCAGGAGATGAATACAGCAACATCCACCCAGTTAATTTTTCTAGCCATCAGCACTGTGAAGCCTTGATTCTGGAGGCACTGTATGTGACTCCCCGTATGAACTCAAAAAAGTCCCAGAATCCTCTGCAATGTTATCCTGATGCCCCAGATGAGTCCCCATCTAGGACAGTCTTAAACTCATTTTTGTTCACCATCTCTGTGTGAGAGAAAATATTTCCACTATGATTAGTGATGTGCAAAACCTGAAGTAAAGTGACTACTTTTCTTTCAGAATTTACTGTGATTGTCATGAAATTTGGTTAACAGTTGATAACGAGGGAAGACTTATAATTATTGGGGTGAAAACAATTCCTAAAAACTATCCTGATTAAACAGTAATTAACAGAGAACTCAGCGCGCGCGCACACACACACACAAAGAAAGAAATCTACATTGGTATCAGTGCTTGGACAGTTATTTTTCAAAAATAATTTGAAATTTTTGTAGTTCAAGTATTTGTTCCAAGGCAATTATTTACCATTATGCTTACAGGTTTTGAAAGGTAACTGTTTTCAGATTTCTCATAATTAACTCCAATAGTTACTTTCAAATCATTTAAAAACAAACACCTGAATATTACTAACCACTGGTTGGTGTCATGAAACTCAGCCTGCTCCTGTCCATCTTAGCACCCACAACAGAGCACAAAGCACGGCGAGTCAGCACTTGAACAAAAAGAGGATGTGCAAAGTACAAAACAAAGTAATGTAGTTACCTGTAGAGAGTTCCTTTTAGAATAGGCCCAATGGAATAATCTTAAAGTAATACAACACATGGTAACGGTGTTAACTGTTCTGATGCAACAAGCATTTATTTTAATGACTTTTAAAGGGACTTTAAAAATCATTTTAGAAGCAATTTCCCACACATTATGCTTTTCTTTTGGACACCCCACACTATTTGAAAGATCATCTTACAGCATCTATGTTGTTGTGGTTAGATGAGAGAGGAAAGAAGAGAAGAAATGCGGTGGATCAAGGACAACACTTAATTGCATAGGTTGCCATGATTAAGGACCAGTTCCCCTCCCCCAGCTGGCACTTTCCAGATGTTTTTGACTACAAAATCCTACCAGTCCCAGTCACTGATTGGATTGTGGGATTTGTATGCATCTGTAAAGACCTGGATTGTGGAAGGCAGTGTAAATTCCTGAAGATCACTTTTGAAAGAGCAGTCAACAGAACATGTCATCCATGAGCAACAGTGTCCTCTGAACTACTATGTGCCATTTTCTCTGTCGGTCCTGTGGTTTCGAACCTACACATCAGTAAATAGCATAGTGGCAATGTGGCATGTCAAAACCTTCCCAACCAATGTTAGATTTTTGAACTCAGTCGTCCTTATGAATTGTTCGTGAAACGCAGTAAGCCTTTTCCCTGACATTCCTTGATTCTGCACCTGAACCATGTGATATTCTTTCTCTGCCACTCATTTAGGCTACACCTTACAACTAGGAAAAAAAACCTAGTTATACTGCAGAAGGAGTGACGTTATTCCTTCTTATACTGTAGTTTTAATGAAATGTAGTTACACAGTCTCTTACTGGAAAAATGAAGCAATTACAGCTAACCAGCTAGCTGTAACTAGTGCCAGATATGCCTGGATTTGTGTTGGTGTCACGACCCACCTACCAAACAGTGGCTGGGATACCACCAGAGATAAAACCAAGCCCAAGCAGATAGCCCGAGATCTCTGGGCCTGAAAATCCAGAAGTGAAGCTTCTGCAGTGAGGGGACAAGGTTTTCAGAGAGGTTTAGCTTCCAAGGAGCTATGGATCCCAGCATCTCCCAGTTTGAAAATCAGCAGCCAATGTACATATAAAAAGCAAGACAATACAACTAAACAAACACAATGTTCCATGATTTGCAGACACGATAAGGGACAGGCCTCGTGTGTACACACACACACACCTTGTGTACACACACACACACACACACACACACACACACACACACACACACACACACACACACACAGAGAGAGCATGTGTATTCCCTTAAGGTCCACTGTCTCCTTCTCTTGTTTTTTATGGTTTCTTCTAGGGTCCCATGTGAAACTCGCTGTGGCATCGCCACGTTATTGACACATGAAGCTGGCAATCTTTTTTCCTTGCAACACCAATAGTGTCATCAGCAATTGACTACTAACAGCAGTCTGTTTACTAACAATGCATGCTAACTGAGGAAAACCGAGGAGGAGCTAGGGATGCAGGTCACCACAGATGCACTAAAAACTTGTACTCATCATCATAATAATTACATGACATCAAGTTGATTTTGACTTATGGTGACCCTTGTCAGTTTTTTTTAATGTATAAATGGTTTAACATTCCCTTCTTCTGGGGGTGCCCTGGGACAGTGCTGTTTGCTCAAGTCACACAGGCTGGCTCCTCCCTTGAGAGCCACAGAGGTGAATTGAACTTCAAATTTTGGGTGATTAATTCATTGTACTATCCTACTTTCCTGAGTAATGGGGCAATATTCCCAGAGAGATTCAAAAACCTGCTCTTAGCTATTGCATGCACACACATGCACACACTGTGTGCAAGCACATTCACACACACACTTAATTTTTTAAGGCACAAATATTAATTTTTTTACAACATATATATA